AAGCTTTCTTAAAATTAATTGTTATGAAACCCGGGGGAGACTTCAACGTTACGTCAATTTTGATCTGTCATGTTATGCTAGAGACGCATCTCACCCTTAGGTCCTATTCGAATACGTAATTCTACAAAATGCTGCCCTTTTCTCCATTTTTCTTTCAAGACTGGGTATTCTCTCGCACAAACTTTTCTGAATTTTTCACACATATTTCAAAATACTCCCCATCTTTCCATATGATGTTCCAATTTCAGAAGCGATGTCAAGAATAGTACGTCAGCCGACAACGTCCAGTAACGCTTTTAATTTGTCTAGGGGGATAAAAACTTAAAGCAGAGCCTCCAAATGGCGGTCACACCTTTAGTTAACGTCTATGGAAGTTATATTTTTCTTAAAATTCTTATGCCATTGGAAAACCAGTGACTAAATATATTTTTCAAGCCTATGTCAATAACATATGCGTTTTAGATAGAGTGATCCCGGGATTTTCACAAAACGTATGACTTGACCGAAATTTGACGTTGTCTAACAACTTAAACATGAACAATAAATCAACAACTTATAAACTGAATATCAGTTGTTGCAACCACTATTGAAATACAACCACTATTGAAATAATTATATCAATAGTGGTTGAGAGTGCATTTCAATAACAAACATAGTTAGTAACCACTATTGAAATACAACCACTATTGAAATAATTGTTGAAATAATTATTTCAGTAGTGGGTGAGATCGCATTTCAATGATATACATAGTATGTATCCAATATTGAAATACGACCACTATTGAAATAATAAGTTGAATAGTTGATGAGAGTTTCTTTCAATACCAAACATAGTTTACTACCACTATTGAAATAATGTTCACATTTGAAATAAATTTTTAAATAGTATTGAAATAATGATTTCAAAAGTGATTTAAATATTATGTCGATAGTTGCTAATAATTAATACTAAAAACACACTGCAAGACTTATTAAAATGACTTAACTATTGAAAAATACAGGACTAATGGTTCTTCATGTTCTCCAACATTTTTGATTTATTTATTGAGTTTACTATGAAAATACGACTACTTGTGAATGATTATCTTTAAAAAAAAATTGTTAAAAATACGTTTCAAAACACAGTTTCACCACATTTTAATCACACCAACTATTTTAATAAACCTAATACTAACTTCCCTAGAAACTTTGCTTTTTAATGTCTTGAGGAGTAGATATTTGCTTTACTATCCGTATTTGTAGTATAGGTAACCCCATGAATATAAGCAACAATTTAGTTCTATACTTAATTCTTCTTATCAAAAATTCTTCTTCCGTCATTTCGATTCGGCCAGATTTAGCATGAGCTTGCTTATAACATTTGCATACATGTTGAATTATACGCCAGTCAGTATAATATAAAGTGACCGTGTATTAATTGAAATTTCTACATAAAACGAAACCAAACAACTTTTTCTTTTACGTTTTAAACTCAATAAACTAGTTTATTGTGTTAGAAAACAGTATTGGTAATCCATCCTTATATATTTTTTTATTTGGGATACTTCAGTAGAGCTTGCAATGTGATTTTGATATTGAAATCATTGTCAGCAACTGCATGTATGAATTATTTTAATACCCATTAATATCATTGTTTAAAACACTATTGAAATCAATATTTCAATCACTTTTGAAATCTATATGTTAATCACTATTGAAATATTTATTTTTAAAGTAAACGTTGGTTCAAAAGCGGTTGCAACATATGTCAATTGGTATTGAAATGCACTCTCAACCACTATGGAAATAATTCTTTCAATAATGTCGTATTTCAATAGTGAATGCATATTATGTTTGTAATTGAAATGCATGCTCAATCACTATTAAAAGAATTATTTCAATGGTGGTCATATTTCAATAGTTGTTGCATACTATGTTTGTTATTGAAATGTACTCTCAAATTCTCAACTATTATTGAAATAATTATATCAATAGTGGTCGTATTTCAATAGTGGTTGAAACCTATGGTCATTATTCAAATGCACTCTCAACCATTATTGATACAAGCTAATTCAGAGAATTTTGTCCCCCGCCTAAGGAAAAAGTAAACATGTTCTGTTGGGGGGGGGGGGGGGGGGGGAGTCGGATCCCCCTCACTGAATTTGTAGAATTATTAAATGTATACTTGCATGTATACTGAAGCAAATAAAATATACCATTATGGATATAAAGATTTAATTGCTTATTCTTAATCATGTGTATAGAAGATTCTTTTTATATGGAATATTCATCACACTGTCATGATGGTTTTATGAGTTTGCACAAGCCAGACCTCGTAAATTTTTCATTTCGCGTGCTGAATACTTAATATTTAATAAAAAAGTATTTTTAAAAAAGTGGTCCGTCTAGGACTTGAACTCGGGACCTCTCAAATGGGAAGCGAGAAACATACAACTAGACCACGGAATCGCTTTACATGAAGTCAAGTTTATGCAGAAGTGAAGTCACATACATGTACATATTCATGTTCGGCATTGTCAAAATTTTACACAATCCATGGTGTTTAATTTATTTAGCCTTTATAAAACAGTCCTAATAGATGTAATAAGAAAATAAAGTCCGCCGAGAACCTGTTTTATACGCAATGACTCTCCTCATGCCCCTGTGCTAAAAATAGCGACATGTAATTATAGTATAAATACTAATAAAACAAACGGGGCGGGGCACTTTGAGAGGGGTGAGAGAGGTCCTAGGGAGTTTTGGTATAAAATTACATTGCATAAGCTCAAACTCTTCTTGAAATATCGCCAAGAAATGATAGTGTTACACAGACAGAATGTATAAATTTACGATCTTGAACTTTGACCTGTTGACCTCAAAATCAATAGGGGTCTTTACTAGGCCACAGGGAGTTGTTATTTAAACTTTCATTGCAATAGCTTAAATGGTTCTAGAGATATCGTGTGGAAACGAAAGTGTTATAACAGACAGAATTTGCTTATTTATGACCTTGACCTTTAACCTTAATACCTCAAAATCAATAGGGTTCTTCTTTAGTCCATGGGGAGTTGCTATGCTAAATTTCATTGCAAAAGCTCAAAGGGTTCTCGAGATATCGTGTGGAAACGAAAGCGTTACAGACAGAAAGACGGACGGACGGACATACGGACGGACGGACAAACCCAAATTAATATCCCCCACTTTTCAAGCGCTGGACAATAATTATTTCAATAGTTGTTGTATTTCAATAGTGGTTATTACCTATGTTTGTTATTGAAATGCACTCTCCACCACTATTGATATAATGACTTCAATAGTGGTCGTTATTTCAGTTGTGGTTGCAACATACCACATAGGACGGTTTTATTCTCATTTCACGTATTAAGAATTTAAATGATATTAGTGCGTTAATGTCTCCCCCGCATTTCCAAACAAACGTTTCTATGGCAACTGCCATAGAATTGCTATCATAGATATTTAAAATGTTTTTTATTTAAAATGTTCATCAAGTGTCTAAATTCTCACATGTAATTTTCAACAATTTTACTCAAAAATAAATAAAATATGAAGAAATTCCAGGAACGTTTGGATCAACCCTCGTAGATATGATTATGATATAATCATTCATGATCACTCATACTGTAGATCACTAAATTTTTGCGACACCTTATTTTCGCGAGATAGTCATTGACTCTTGATTAGCGAGACATAATTCTCACGAATTGTTGTTTTTCCTCATATAATCGTAGGGAATACTTTTAAACGCGAGAATGAAATTTTCGCGAGCTCATTGTCTCGCGTAATTACGCGAAAATTAAGGTTTTGCGAATTAAATGTGATTTACAGTATCATTGTAAAACCTCCTCAGGTAGTGCAGATTCAAATTTGTTTAAATGTACGACTATCAGAATTAGGTCACGTTCAGCAGTCAAAATTTTACATAAGAAAACGTAGCAAAAAAATGAGAAATTCCTTTCTCATTCAGAATAACAAAGCCATGATTATCAATATTGTTATGGACACATCGAGAGGTAGTGTAAATTTGACTTAGTCAATCAATACTGGATTGATTTTTGGCTTCTTCTTAGCCACTATGCTAAGGTGAGCGATGTTACCTATGCGTCTCGTTAATTTTAATAACTCATTTTGTTAAAAATCTTTTAACATCTATGTTGTTTCATTTTCTTTACCCGATTTTTTTTAAATAAAGGATTGATAATAGATCAGAAGTTTGGATCGGTGTTCATGACCTAGTTTTAGAAGGATACTTCATGAATATCCGAAATGAGACTCAATGTTTTGGACCAGAAGATTGGAAAACATTAATTGATAATGACAAAACCTCTGATTGCGTAGCGTTTAATGGAAAAACATCAAGATTAGTTGCATTACCGTGTGAAAAACAACTCCCCGTCTTATGTTCTTCCAGTTTCGAAGGTAAGATCTTTTCTGTATGCGGTATTTTCACAAGCAAATTTATCTATATTTAAGATTATATAAATACAGTTTGTACGTCTTATCCATGATGTTCATCTTTTCAAAATAAGCCTTTCAAAAAGTGTTTTGTTCAATGTGCCTGTAACATTTAAAATCTTACTTAACTAAACTTCCCAAACCAAACATTTTTTTAAAATCCCAATTCATGTTCAAAAAAGCAAAATCTAAAACACAGAGCTAGCGCAAAGATAATTTTGGAGTACGGACCCCAATCCCCTGTACATAAATCCCAGGGTACATGTACTTAAATTTTCCCAGGAATCATATCTCGGTGAATAAATATGAATTGATCCATATTATCAACTCAAGAAATAATGCTGAATATACCGTTAAACAAACATTTCACATGACAATTTTGCTACAATCATCAATAATTTTAATATGAACATCAACTACACATCAGCATCTGCCATATCAACAAGTATGCCATTATCTCTATTCAAAACAGATCCTGAACATTTAACTACAATAATTGTAATTGTTTCAAGAAAAATCGTCGATTCAAAAACAACATCCACAGCAGATCATGTACCGTCAACTAAATCTTCAACTACCGATAGCTCTCCATCGGAGTTAAAATCAATAACCGATACCGTGCCATCAACTACAACAATATCAACCAGAACTCTCAGATTCACTTCGGTTTCACTATCAACATCTGATCCTGTGCCATCAACTACATTTTCTACTACCGTTAGCTCCACATCGGGGTTAAAATCAACAGGCGTTTCCATAACGTCACCCACAACAACATCGACGAGAACCGTCGAGTCAACTTCGCTATCAACAATAGCTGATTCTGTGCAATCAACTCGAACTACATAGTCAACAACCGGTAATTCAGCATTAGAATCAACATCAATTCCAACTGTATCATATACAACCGGTAGTTCAACATTGGTAACAACATCAGGACCAACTGCATCGTCAACATCAAGTAATTCTACATAGCTATCAGCAGCAACTCCAACTACATCGTCAACAAACGACAGTCAAACATCAGTTTTAACATCAAACAACTCAAACTGCATCGTATACAACCAGAAGTTCACTGTCACGTCCAACATCTTCCTTAAAAAACGGTAACTCAGCATCGTTATCAACTCCAGCTACAACATCAGTATCAACATCAACTCCAACTACATCGTCAACAACCGGTAGTTTAACATCAGTCTCCACATCATGGTCAACATCCAGTAGCTCAGCATCAGTTTCAACATCACGTCCAACTAGATGGTCAACAACGGATAGTTTAACAACAGTATCAACATCAGCTCCAACATCAAAATCGACTCCAACTACATCGTCAACAACCGGTAGTTCAACATCGGTATCCACATCAACTCCAAGTACATCGTAAACAACCGGTAGATAAACATCGGTATCCACATCTCCTGTTGATTTTAACACCGATGTGGAGCTAACTCCAACTACATCGCCAACAACCGGCGGTTCATTATTGAAATCAACATCTCCAAATTTATCATTAACAACCGGTAGTTCCAAATCACCTTCACCATTATAAGAACGTTCTCGATGTGTATGGTATTTCCGGTATATGGTTAAAAAGTATATATTTTTGAGCAGAATGCATACAGATATATGAAAGTTTAGATAGAGGAGCTTAGGGAATTGAGTTTATATAGTGAAAATACATTGCTTTTCTTAGTTCTATAAAATCTTTTTTGGTTTTGGAAACATGTCCAAAAATGAATTCAAATGGTTTAAAGTGCTAATTTCGGGGGCCTCCCCATAAGTTAATGGTTATCAGAAATATATCATGCCATTTTGAAACAAAATCTTTAAATGAGAAAAATCAAACATCATATAGTCATAAATTTAAGCCCCTCAAAAAATTATTTATTGGTATTCTGCAAACCCCCCCCAAAAAAATACATACCAGGTACATTGAACACGATGCTTTTTTTATTTTATGCAATCAAATTATCAAATTTGTTAAAAGGAGTAAAGTATATCACTCCTCATTACTGGAAAGTATAAAAAAAAATATCAAGAGACACAGACATACGGTTTTACTTTATTAAAACGGAGGTGATCAGATTTCTAAGAGGGTCATTTTTCAATGTGTGTGTAGTCATAGAAAATAACTGGTCTTGAATAGTTTTCTACGGTCGAAAAATGACCCCACTTGTCGTAGAATATTGACCCTCGGTCATTTTTTGTACGTAGAAAAATTACATCCTGGTCAATATTCTACGGGGGTAACTTTTCGTCGTTACACCGTCTTAACAATTATTTCATCATCTCTATCCGAAACAGATCCTGTACCATCGGTTACAACTACATCAACGAGAAGCGTCGATTCCACATCGGTATCACTATCAACAACCAACACCGTACCATCAACTACAACAAAATCAACGAGAACCGTCAGATCTGCTTCGGCATCAACATCAACAACTGATTCTGTACAATTAACACCAACTTCATCGCCGACAATCGGTAGTTCAACATCGCTATCAACACTAGCTACTTCGTCAACAACCGGTTGTTCAACATCGGTATCAACATCAACTGCTGATTCTGTACCATCAGATCAAACTACATTGTTAACAACCGGTAGTCCACCATTGGTATCAACACAAACTACATCGTCTACAACTGGTAGATCAACATCGGTATCAACATCAACAACTGATTCTATACCGCCAACTCAATCTTCAATGTCAACAACCGGTAGTTCAACATCGGTATCAACATCAACAACTGATCCTATACCACCAACTCAATCTTCAATGTCAACAACCGGTAGTTCAACATCGGTATCAACATCAACAACTGATTCTGTACCACCAACTCAATCTTCAATGTCAACAACCGGTAGTTCAACATCGGTATCAACATCAACAACTGATTCTGTACCACCAACTCAATCTCCATCGTTAACAACCGGTAGCTTAACATCAGTATCAACATCAACTTCAAATACATTGTCAACAGCCGACAGCTCCACATTGGGCTCAACATCATCAACTCATTCTGTACCATCGACTTCCACTATATCTTTAAAAACTGTCAGCTTTACTTTGGTATCATCTTCCCTGTCAAAGTCTACACCTAAATCATCAAGCACAGTAAAATCGTCCTCAACAGACACCTTCCCATCGGCACATGTATCATCCTCTATGTCAAAGACTAATCTTATGAAATCAACTACAGCTTCCTCTGTGAACAAAGGTAGTCTTTTAAATATCAAAGGCATTTTGTTCAAGTGTACAAATAGTACACTGGATTGTGCTTGCTTGATGCAATTAATTCTTTCAAATATGTTGATGTAAACTGTTATGGGTGTAAGCAACGTAACTTACCTACTGATATATTATCAAGATATTCTAAATTTCAAATTATAGTACCCTCATTTGTTCTAAGCCAAAAAATCAGCATGCGTTACCAGGGGTTTTGAATATATATCAAATGATGAAAATTCTTGCATTATTGGAGGAAAAATATACAAAAATTAGTAAACATAGATTCCAGATTTTCTTTTCATCCAAATTTGTTTTAGTAGAAGTGTGCAATACAATATATAAACGTTAAAAGTGCTGCACAAGGGTCTTTCACTTAGTGTAACTCTTAAAGTCCAGTGGAAAGGCAAATAAAGTTTAAACTACATTGCGTTATAATGTCCATAATTTAAAGATTTATTTGACAATTTGAGCCCGTTTAGTGGTCCAAGGAACCTAATTTAATGTTTAATTTTTGATATAATAAGGCTCCTTAGAAATCTTACGTATGAATGATACTTGTCATTAACAAAAAATAAGAACGCTCATCGAACGTGAAATTACATAAATTGATACATAAATTATATATCTAAGGATCAGCAAACCTAGAAGATGTATTTGTATATTTGTAAATTCACCTGCAAAATGTCATGGTTTTGCATGAGTAAACATAACTGAATATGAAAGAATTTCACACTGAAAATAAATGTAGAAATTTTAAAGAATTAAGTTTATTATTGACCAATATCTTTTTTTTTCAAGGTTGTATGTGCCCATGCGAGCGGATGAAAAATCAAGTCATCATAACAGACAAGAAAGTGCTCAAAGCTAAAATCGCAAAAATGAAAAAGGAGTTGAAAGTCAATAAAGCAGATTTGAATAAGCAGCTTCGCAAAAGAGTATCCATCTTTGATAAACGAGCCTCTGCCGTTGCGTTTGGTACGATATTTGGACCACTCCTCATTGCAATTTTCATCGGAATTATCGTCATCAGCGATATACCGATCATGATGCGTCATCTAAAATACGGTCTTTGCAAAATACCTAGAAAGAGGAAAAAGAAAAGACAATTTGACTCTGATGATGTTCGCGGAAGTTCCACGGATGTCCAGAAAACTGAAATTCAGCAACAAAAGATGATCGATAATCCAGCTTAAAACTCATATTTCTATTTCTACTTATTAGCTGAATCGATATACACATGTATCTCGAATATCAATAATGTGGAAAATCACTTCATAACTAAAATTAATTAAAAAGAAGATATGCTTGTGAAACAATGATGCCCACACACCCCGAACTCTTATTTTTGTGAACTCTATATACGCAGCACAGACACATCTAAGGTTACAAATGGAAATATCGGCGATTATTTAAGATAAAAAATACATACATGTACTTTATTAGGATGGGCGATTCTTTTTTAGGAATTCAGTCATATAAAAAAAAAGTAATGTGGTTTAAATCTACATGTTGGGGACATTTAGATTTTTTATTTAGACTTGTCATGTGATGTCGACGTCACATGACTTTGGCATTTATACTTGTAGTTTAGAGGTCATCTATAAATTTCAATATTGCAAGGACATAACCAAGTTAAAAATCTTAGTTTATTTTATAATCCTTTTAAATACTATATTTAGTTCGTGAAAAGTGCAGCGAACCTATATAGATTCCCTTTTTTAATTGGTAAAATTTAATTTGTTGGGCGGCAGGTTGAATATTTTGCTGGTCAACTACATTAAATATAGCTATAATTAATTTATTCGCCAGATTTCAAGAGGTTCGCAGCACTTTTCAAATATCTTAATGCTTCTTGAGTTTATGTGTAAAATTTTGACAAGATATATTGAGGGTATGCCCTTGCAATAAATCGATTTATTAGGGCCTTTCCGTTACTTTTTTAATGAATCTGCATACAAACACACGATAGTTTCGCTTGTCTGGAGAATTCACGTACAGTTTATAAATAAAATACTAAAATAGACATCGCATCCAAGTTAATGGCTTTTTATTTTACTGCAAATAATATTTTATTTGAGAACAAAAGACATTTTTCATTGTACAAAATGTAACTTGATCAGCCTCTCACTGTGTACAAACTGCGTCATTTTTGCGAGATGACGTCACATTGACAAGTGCATTGCGATCGATGCATCGTTTATATACTGTTGTGTGGGATTTAACAAACGACAAATCTGTATGCAATATAGTAAGTTTTTATGTAGTGTACAGCTATCCAGCTATTTGAAATAGCAGATAATTTCATTTTGTGGTATTTTGAAGACCTTATATTATGTGTGACGTCATAGTAAACATTTCCCGTACAAATTAGGCCCCGCCTCCTTACTGTAACCTTAACTGTGCTGCGTAATTTTGTCTTTTGAGTTTTGAGGACTCCCTTTTTGATCTAAAAGATAAAAAACTTTTATAAAGCCCTTTCTTACAAATGAAGTTGCTTTCTATACCTGTCTGTTTACTGCACATGATTTAATTTTCTTCAATCAGGAATAAAGAAAAATTCGACAATTTTATTTTAAGAATTACACATCTTATTATATCCTGACTCTAAGAAAGAAAAGTTAGGATTTATTTTAACTGGTACGTTTTGTATATAATATTCTATAATCGGCAATATTTTCTAACTTTAATTCATTTTATTTGGGGGGGGGGGGGGGGGGGGGCGTACATATATCACTCGGAGCTCCTCGGATGGCTCGTGTGCCATTTTGAATGGAGTGTAGCGGAGTAAGCCGAAGATTACGGACTAAGCACATTAATATGCATAATGAGATCTATCTATCACAAATACAACAAGCTAATTCATATGGAAGGGAATTACCGCCAAAAGTCTATGTATCTTGCTTTTATTCTTATTCTGCCTACTTCTTTATGCTTTGTTATTATTGTAACTATATGTCACTTTATTGTTTTCATATTCGTCTTTATTACATTTCACTTTGCCTTTTATCCTTCTTCATTCTGTCTTTACTTCTATATTGCTTTATTCTTGTAAATTCATTCTACTTTCTTTTAAACTTAAACAGTTTCTTTAATAAATTATTAGCATTATCTCTACTACTAAGATGTCGTGTGGAAACGAAAGCGTTACAGACAGACAGAAAGACGGACGGACGGACAGACGGACGGACGGACAGACCCAAATTAATATCCCCCACTTTTCAAGCGGGGGACAAAAAGCAAATAATTGAAACGTTTGCTTACAATCACATGCTGAGAATAAATTTAAGGAAATTTCTACCGATGACAGCGTATATATTGTATAATGTTTGGATTTTCAGGGGGGAAGCCTATTTCACTCCATCTAAATATATTGTCTTGTTCTCATTGACACTGAATACGAATTAAACTAATTATTAAATTTACAATATTGTAACTGTGCATGAACTTGTTTCTTCAAGTCATGTTTAAATTGTACATCTGTAAGTTAGAATGTCATCCGAGACCCTTGACTTGGTCAAAAAAATATTCCGTGAAACAACGTACCAACTCGTGAATAGGTGACACATAAGAAATTAAACATTATCCATTTTATAATATTTTGAAAATCATTAACGTCCGACTTTGAATTGATTGTGTTGCATCATTCCTATAGATATATACGTAACCTAGGTATTTTATTAGTGCAGAACAAATTAAATTCCTTAATTTTTTTTAATGAGAATAAAAAACACCTTTTTTTCTTTTTACATTGAACAACACAAAATATTTACCTATTTACCTTTATGAAATGTAAAAAAAAATTTCTTTCACTGTTACTTACGACGGCGTATTCGTGCCAATTTGACAATGTAGAGAAAATTTTAAAAAAAATCGTTTGTACGATTTGTTAAATCGTTTGTACCATTTTTAAAAATCGTTTGTATGATTTGTTAAATCGTTTGTACAATTTAAAAAAAAATTGTCTGAAC